AGAATTTCCTACCGAATTCACTGGATTTTTCTATTGAATTTCTTAGTGCGTACTGCAATAGAATGAAAAAAAAATTGACACTCTTCTGAAACTCCAGACACCTGCACAGCTTGAGTCTTCGTTGGCATCTGTCCCGTAAAACTGGTGAAGTCCTGAGAATAATGGACCGTGGAACAGATTCAATAAACAATCTCCTCAACTATATCCTGTTCTCGATAGTCCCCACAATCGTGGACATCCTAGTGGCTGTGATATTCTTCGTATCGGCCTTCAACAAGTGGTTTGGCCTGATAGTCTTCACGACAATGATCCTCTACATCATCACCACCATTTTAATCACCGAATGGAGAACCAAGTTTCAGAGGAGAATGAATCTGGCTGATAATGCCAGAAATGCCAGGAGTGTTGACAGTCTCCTGAACTTCGAAACTGTCAAGTACTATGGGGCTGAGCACTACGAGGTCAGCAGCTACAGGGAGGCTATTTTCAAGTACCAGGTGGAAGAATGGCAGTCTATCGTCACCCTAAACATTCTCAACACCGTGCAAAATGTAATCGTTTGTGCTGGACTCCTTGGGGGGTCCTTGCTCTGCCTCCAGGAGATCGTTTACGAGAAAACACTTACTATTGGAGATTATGTACTCTTTGCTAGTTACATTATCCAGCTTTATGTACCCCTCAACTTTTTCGGGACTTATTACAGAGCAATCCAAAAGAACTTTGTGGATATGGAGAACATGTTCGAGCTTCTCCGTCAGGAGCAGGAGGTGATAGACGCTCCAGGGGCTGGGCCTCTCATCGTCAAACATGGACACGTTGAATTTTCGGGTGTATCTTTCGGTTACGTTCCTGAGAAGATAATCCTCAAAAACGTGAGCTTCACAGCCCCAGCTGGAAAGACCATTGCCCTGGTGGGACCCTCTGGGGCTGGAAAATCTACGATCATGAGGCTCCTCTTCAGATTCTACGACGTCGATGAGGGATCCATTTCCATTGATGGTCAGAATGTTAAAACTGTCAAGCAGGAGTCCCTGAGAAATGCCATTGGAGTCGTTCCCCAGGACACTGTTTTGTTCAATAATACAATCAAGTATAATATTCAGTATGGGAGGATTGATGCTCCAGAGGCTGATGTCATTGCTGCATCCAAATCAGCTGATATTCATGATAAAATACTCACATTTCCTGAGCAATACGAAACACAAGTGAGTGATTATTCATTTACAATTACATAATTAACATTCAAATTGACCGCTAATTAACCGTTGCTTTTCCATAATATGACTCCATTCAATTAAAAAATCACCATAGGAATTTAAGTTTTGTAGTTTTTATATTATGTCAGCTCATTATGCCCCAAAAGGTCAGACAATACAATTTATGAATGTATGGAAGAGGCAACTTTCGCAAAATTCATTTCCGACTGAATGCTAATGGATCTGTTAAGTGAAATCATTTTCTTTCGTGTCTATTATGAATTAAAATTTAATTCATTCATTTTTTTTTATTTTTGGGTTAAAAAAAATCAGTTTTTCACGATAATAATTGAAGACAAAAAGTTATGAAATACTTCAATGATGGCTTAAAAAAACTGTTT